TGCCCTGATCACATTCACACAGGTACACCTTCATACCTGGAAGCGGCCCAGTGCAGCCACAGTTAGACCTGCTAGCCATCATGAAAATGGAGACTGCTTTGTTTCCATTTGCCCTCAGCTTTCCTGGTTTCTCTTTCCTGACTGGAGGACAGTGGGGGTGTTCCTCCACCATGCTTTCTGCTTGCCACAGATGGTTTTTACCTTTTCAGTTGCAATGGTGTGAATAGGTTCCAAAGATTTATATTTAAAATGATCACAGAGCGAATCAGCACAGTCTGACGTTAGTCTCCATAAAACCAGAACTAGTCTGTTCCTTTCAGTTCCTTTTCTTTTGACAGAAACTGATCTGGTTCAGGTAACGGGGAAATAGTTTCTACACATTGAAGCAACCAACCTTGGTTCTCTTTGCTCTGTTAGTCAAATTCATTTAATTATTATTGGCTATTATTGGTACGATAATAAATACCGAAGACTCAGAATATGGTTGTATAATAAAGGTTCTAATTACAGTGTCTGTAGCTCTTTACTGACTTGCTAGCAGCTCTGTGGGAATGTACTGAACTTGCACTGTGGTGCATTTGCATCCTGTCATGCTCACAATGACAATGCTACTGTAATATAAGCAATCGTCTTATAGTTTTAAATACCATCATTATCTCAGTGGACCAACTGAGGGACGTTGCCACCTCTAGAGCTATGACTGATGCAGATAAAAACTAGGATTGCCTCTATAAACTCCAACCTAATCAACAGGAAATCCAAATAAAAACTGAACACAATGTCTGATTGGCTGGTGAAAACTGCAGAGCAGAAAAAATACAGCACTGAGCACTAGAAATGGAGGCATCATTATAAACTGATTTATTTTTCAAGTTAAATATGATATTTCTCTACACACCTGACAATTGTCTCACAACAATTTTGTTATAATTTATGCCACACATGTTTGCTCCAAGTGTTAAGACCTATCTGAACACAAGAAGCAGAACTGTTTCTGGACATTGGATGCTGATTAGCAGAGACTATACTAATGCACCCTGTAGACTGTCCAACCAGTCAGAGAACGAGGAGAACATGTTCATACAGTTACAATGTGAACATTCTTGTACATGTGACCTGGTGACGAAGACAGTGTTGTCATGCTCTGTGTACTGTTCTCTCCTACGACTATGTAAATATGACTGTAGTTGAACTAGTAGTTCATTACTCCCCAACACTGCATTTTAGCCTGTTCACATACATCAGGATGCAATGCACTCACAAAAATGCAGCATAATCAATACATTTCTTCTACCATGACTCGAAGGAACTTCATGCTTCAAATCAGTTTTAATGGTACATTGGACCCTGGGGAGGCACAGCAGAGAAACACTAAGGACAGACAATATTTCACGATTATGAGATATTCTATGTAATAATTATGAAACTAGGAATTATATGAAAGGGTCTCATGATTACAAGATCTATATCTCATTATGTTAAAGAGATCTTATATTTATGAGCATCAGATATAATTGTCTCAGTACTACAGGAACCCTGTCTAGTACTTATGTCATAATTATTTATTAGTAATTTATAAAAATCTTATTATTACAAGTTTTGTACTGTACTGTACTGTACTGTAGGATATGGATCTTGGAATTCCAAAATTATTATCTCGTAATTAGGATATATTTTAATTTTCACAAGATCTCACAATAACAAGATATAAACTTTGTAATGAAGACAATGATATTATCAATATTAGTTTATATATAATTATTATAAAACTGTCAAAATGTTTGAATTTCAAATTATTTAATCAAAAGTGTTCTTGTAATTATGTGGTACAGATCTAGTAATTATCTGCTAAGTTGTAATTACAAGTTATAGATCATAACAATATTAATATATATATAATTATTATAAAACTGTCAAAATGTTTGAATTTCAAATTATTTAATCAAAAGTGTTCTTGTAATTATGTGGTACAGATCTAGTAATTATCTGCTAAGTTGTAATTACAAGTTATAGATCATAACTGCAACACATAATTACTTCTCAGTGCTTGTTTTTCTTGAGGTGTGTGCCGTGTGTTTCCGTACGATTTCATTTCCTATTTTTTATTCACTTCTTTCCTCCAGGATGTCCCGCTGCTATTATGCAGCACACCCCAGCAGCTGTAATGTCTTTACTGCTGTAATGACTCTTTCC